TGAATGTAAGCAGCAGAAAAGTCCAAGACCAATTTCCCTTCAGGGACAACAATTGTATCGTATCCTATTTTATCCTATCATATGTGCATTGTTTTTATTTATTTATTAAAGTAAGATTTAAACACCTGCTTTTAAAAAGGCAAACATTCAATATCACAAAACCCAATCTATTTGTGTGTCTCATGATCTGGTAACTCAGTATATTTTAAAGGCCAGTCTTTGCTTGACTATTAAGTACACGAAGTGATGACTTCCAACATAAAGTTACTGTTCGCTTGTCACTCCCAAGTCTCAAGTATCCCAGTCCTGAAGAACCACATCCTTCAATTATTCATTAAATGAATGACTTTTAGCTTGCAGGAAGTCATTTTATGCTGTTGTGTTAACAAGACAGCAGGGAAAATGAATGACTCTCCCATCCCACTGCAGCTCAATTTTAGCTCTCCATGTGTGAAAAGGATAATCATGTAGGTCTGAAGCTAGAGTTTGGAGGGCACCAACTTCATTTCCCACCTTCTGTATTTACAAAACTTCCTCTTGCTCAGGCAGGGGACACATTGAGGATGCTCAGGGGTGTTTTCATTCAGGTAAAAGCCCAAAGTCTGGCAGCGGCTGCCAGGAGCGTAGCTATATAATGAGGCTCAAGTGGAGCAGTGTTAGGGCGATAACCAGGCATACTATAAATTATATGTTATGTGACACAAGGGTGCTATCACCAATAATTTATTTTTCGGCAGTGCTGCAAGGATCTTAAAAAGAATGATCCCACACATCTTCATTTTAGGCTATCACCTGCATCATGGTGATGTTGATGCATCTCAGACCATCAAAGCTTTTATATTTGCTGCTCTAAAAATCTGCTTTTAAGGTGTTTTGGGAAGCATTTTCTTTGGGTAAGTGTGTTTTCAAGATACAACAGGTTCTTTGAAAATGTGCTGCCCGTGGTGGCTCATTTAAAATATTGCTCTGGACTTGAAAACTCCACATGTCCTGTGGCCTTTCTGTTGAACTTTAAACTGTTTAATCAAATCCAAAGGGTTCTAAAGCCTCGTCTGCACCATCACCATGCATGCTGCCCTTAACATCATCCAGTAGGCTTCCTTATTATTTAAAGTGGAGCAGAACCAAGCTTCAAAATCATCATTCCAAATCATAAAAATGTTTCTGTCACTGGCTGTGTGTTATTGTTTTTATTTTGACTTTAGATTTGAAATATTATTTGCCTGTGTTACTCTTTTGAAGACAAAGTGTTAACATTAAAAAAAAAAAAGCTAATAGTTGCTAAAACTCCAGTAACAGCTTAGTCGCTCCATTTAAATGCAACATCGTAAAAAGAAGTATTGGATTGATCAGTCTATTTTTTTGCTTAACCAAACATCAGCATGCTGCTTAATAGACCTGAACTCAGAAGATATAAAGTAATAAGAATGATTGTTATGACTGTTAGTTGTGTAATTGTTGTCCATTGAAATGTGTTTGTGTAACTGTGTGAATCTTATGAACTGCCTTTGAATTTCAAATTACTGTCACTTTAAACTTAAGTTGAAGATGTATTTTATTTTAAGGCAAGTGTGCATTTTCCAAAAGACATGTCAGTTATTATATTATACCCAATGGGGATAAAAACCACAGAAAATATAGAAATATCTGTCTGCTGTTGTTCCAGGTCAAACATGAACATCTTAACTTAGATTCTTTCTGCAAGCCCACTTCCCACAGACTTTAAAGAGGCCAAAGGGGACTTCTGCTCCATATGGTGGAAAAATTGTCTTAGAAGAGGCGTCTAATCCCTAAAGCTTCAAGTTCCAGTTACAGCATGTCCCCATCATGTCAAGCCTGCAGATCCAGGGGAGCATGTGCTCTACGTCATACATTTTTCATGTACTTCCGAATTCTTTTTCAATGTTTCTGCTTGATGTCAATCAATCAATTCAATCAACAAATCAATCAATTTTTATTTGTATAGCGTCAACTCATAACAAGTGTTATCTCGAGACACAAAAGTTCAGGCTCAATCAGGCAACGATCTTGAGGAACCTAAGAGAGCTCAAGAGCTCCCACGAAAATAGGTGTTTAGTGACTGAGATTTACAGATAGATAAATGCAGTAATATGATGTAAGGTATATGCACAGAGAGAGAGAGAGAGAGAGACTACCCCGGTAGTCTCAGCCTATAGCAGTATAACTAGGAGCTGGTCTACACCAGCACCAGCCCTAACTACAACATTTATCAAAAAGGAAAGTTTTAAGTCTATTCTTAAAAATACAGACTGTGTCTGCCTCCCGGACCCCGGCTGGAAGATGATTCCAGAGGAGTCTCTAAGTGTACTCCCATAGTACACTTAGAGACTGTAGGTACCACTAGTAGGCCTGCATTCTGGGAGCGTAATGTTCTCAAGGGGCAGTACGGCACTAGTAGCTCCTTAAGATAAGATGGTGCCTGGCAATTTAGAGCTTTGTAAGTGAGAAGAAGGCACTTGAATTCTATTCTAGATTGTATAGGGAGCCAGTGCAGAGAAGCCAACACAGGAGTAATGTGGTCCCTTTTCCTAGTTCTAGTCAGTACACGAGCTGCAGCGAGTCTTTAGAGACTTAGCAGAGCACCCTGACAAAAGATAATTACAATAATCCAACCTGGAGGTAACAAATGCATGAACTAGTTTTTCTGCATGATTTTGCGACAGGGTATTCCTGATCTTGGATGTATTACGAAGGTGAAAATAGGCTGTTCTTGAAATTTGCCTGACGTGAGAGCTAAAGGACATATCTTGATCAAAAAGAACTCCTAGATTCCTAACAGTGGTGCTAGATGCCAGGCTGATGTCATTAAGGACAGGCAAATCACTAGAAAAAGTCTCTCTGAGGTTTTTAGGGCCTAGCACAATAACTTCAGTTTTTTCTGAGTTAAGTCTGCTGTTATGCCGAAAATAGAGTTTGAGTATAATGGCAATATTTAAAGTAATTAATATATGTTCACAAGAAAATGTCATTCTGCATAGACCGAACTGATCCAAATTTTAACCTAGCAGGTAGAGAAAGTGGATTGAACGAAGAGCAGTGCAGGTAACAGTCTTCTTACGTGCCTGTCAAGCTCAAGATAATATCTTTTTTCATCCCTGTTGTCATGAAGGGAAAATCTCCGAACGGCCTGATTGAGCACACATTTTCCAAAAAGAGAAGCAGGCAAAAGACGGAGAGGTTGGATTTTTCTCATAATTGGGGGGTTTGTAGTCAGGTTAGGGACACATATTAGTGTTAGAAAAACATGGTAAAGTACATTTTGCATCTTATGTGACCTTTAAATAAACATTTTCCAATGTATTGTTGTTTTCTGGAGGAAACTTTGTCTTTGGTTTTTATTAAGGGTCACATATTATGCAAAATGCACTTTACCATGGTTTTCTAACACAAATATGTGTCCCCAGTCTGTCAACAAACCCCAAAATTATGAGGAAAGTCCATCTTCTTCATTTTTCGCCTTTTGCCCGGTGTGTGACACTCCCGCAGCTAGGTGCTTGTTCTGTCCTCTGAGTTTGCCTTCTCAGCGTAAACCATGGGGCTCAACAGTGTGGTTCCAGAAGTAAAAATACCATTCATTTTCCCCATAGTGTATTTAATTAGTAGCCATAATATCGAAACCATCCAAGGTAGACTTACTATGAGCTACCTGAGTGTGAAACCATGTATGCTCCTGTAGAAGACACTTTTAAAAAAAAAAAGAAAAACAAGATTTAATCGCTACATCAGGGCAGAGAACTAGACTACCCATGACCACAGAGTGTCACAGCGACTTCTCTGATTGGTTGAGCTTGCTGGCAATGTTTACTGCCCCTCTGCCCCGTATGCAAACAGCTAGCTAGTCGGTTAGCTTAAACGTAATGTACTAAAAACCTTGTCATGAAGAACACAGCTCATTTGCATTTAAAGCTACAGTCACAGAAACAGCCTGTTCTGAGCAGGGCTGAATCAGAGGGGTTTATAGGCAAGCTAAAATAAAGGATCAGAGTGGATTTCAGGCTAGAGACTTCACAGACATGTTTTGAGGACCTCTGAGACTTATTTTAACCGGCTGAAAAGGAGGATAGTATGTGACATTTACAAATATTCCCTTTACCGTTTCATAAACAATGACTTTAAATAGTCTTCTGGCCAATCAGACAGTCAATAAGATTTTATATTATTAAAAGGCTCACTGTCTATTTATTTCAGACTTGAGTGTAAATCTAATAGGATAGTAATATGCAACAATCTCACACCTTACTGCTAGCATAGAAAACAACAAAAGTGTATTGTCTTTCATGGATATTTATAGAAGCTGGAAAATTTAAGGGGTTTCAGGTAATTGCTCACATTGTATAGCTCAGGGACGTTCAAGGATGGCTACTTCTCTTCAGTGTTGAGGAAACAATTAAACACTTAAGTGCTCCTAGGAAATGCTTCTTTTTTTTTTAATGGCCAATTTAGACTTAAAAGGGTTTTGGGAAAACAGAAAATAGGAAACAGAAACAAAAGGTTTAAGTTGGGTGAGGAGAGTGAGAGTGTGTCCTTAAATAACCAGCCGACCAGCGTGGACATAAAGTGACCGAGCCCTGAGATTAATCTTTTATGTGCAGTCTCCTTGACTTTGTTACAATCTATAACTGGAGCTTTCTGTGGAGCGCCGTTCTGAATGATTATGGATACGTGATGCAGAAATCCATTTAAACCCCTGGGATTCAGGCCAAAGTAGCTGCATGTCGTCATCCTTTACCTTAGATATCCTGAAACCTCTATCAGTGACCACCACAGTCTGATGATAGGGGTTAACAAATAGGGATCAGAGCGTCCTGGGTTAATCTGTTTAAGGATAAAAGATATTACTGAGATGATTTAAGCCTTGCCTTGACTGTCCTGAATGATGACGTTAAGATAAGCCACTTCTTACACTGAGAATGTGTCCTCTGGATAAATGCTGATATGTCTTTTGCTTCACTGGAAAATAATTCTCAATGTACATTGTGTTCAATTTAAAGTCAAAGTTTATTTGAAGTACAAAAAAAAGCCATTTTTTTTTAAAAAGAAAAAAATTGAATTAATCGTTTCACAGGACGACAAAACATCTAATACAATAAAGACAAGAGTTAATACAATATATGTTTGCCGGTAAAAACACAGACTGGTGACTGCTGAATGTGTTGTTGCTACCAGGAGCTGAAGTCTCCGAAGGTGGACTTGCCTTTGGACTTCTTAGCTGTTACTCCGCTGGTAGAAGGCTTGCTTTCATCTTCAGCAGCTGGACGTTTTCTGAGGGAGAAAGATAAAAACATAATCCGCTATTTTGTTCACAGATGTGTGATCTTGTTTCTCTGTGAAATGTGGCGTTTGTTCGGATGTATTCTTCCTTTGTACTGTCTTGATGCGCTACTCTTTTCTCTAAAAATTACATTTGCTTGTGCCTTTTATAATACAGCATACAGGCATTTCAGGTTTCTTCTTCATTGCTGAAGTCTGGCTAAGTCATTCAAATATGTGTTCATCTTTATTGTAGTGTGAAAGGCCAGGGGGTGACCAGACCAGAAGCTGATTCAAACAGGATGAGCAACAGTTATTAAAACCTTAACATGAACACACAACCATGAGAGCTGCCGCTTTGCGGTTTTTTCAACAACCGATTTCTCTGCATATATTTAAACAGATTGATTTTGGTAGTTGATTAAATGTAGCAAAACAGTTAACAAAAAGAGTCACATCAGGGGAAATCTAGTGCTGTGAAGATGCCATTAAAACCCTTTATATGACATCACTGAAATAAAATGTCTTAAAATGTTAAAAAATGTGATGCTGTCTACTCAAAATAATATAGGAGATATTTTCTCCAGTAACCAATGATTGTCATGAATATTTAAAATTCAATCAAGACTTTAAAGACAAAGCACGGTTTCACATAACTCTCATTAACATGCATAGCCTAGTCGCTTGTATTTTAATAAGTTAGTTTAATCAATAGATAATTGATCACCTGAAAATAAAAAAACTATTCAAAGCACAGTAATTGTTACGATATACACGTTGTTGCAGAAAGCATCCTCCTGCAGACAAACCTAAAGGGATATTAAAAGCAGGTGCAATACCAAACGTGCCTTTTACATTAAAGTGGAAGGACTGCTATTGCAGAACATTAATGATGACTCTGCATAAATCTAGCTGAATGAATGTTACAGGTAGAAGGGGGCAGGAGGATTTTCCTATTCTGAAGTGAAAATGTCATCAAAGAGACAAAATGATGAGGCTATTGTCTGTTCAGTATGTACACCTTCACTTTGCTTAATGACAGTATTGTTCTGTTATTTTCATCAATGCTGCAGGAAACTACAATGTGTAAACAAGTTTTTTTTTATTGTTTTTGAATTGTCCAAAGGATGTTAAAGACATTTTTCTGAGGAGACAGAGACGATTTGAATAAAGACACAAAAACATTCTTTAATAAAAGAATGTCATAAAAAACCTTGTGGCTAACACAACTTCAGATTCATGTATACTTGACTCTCATGTTTCATGTCTTAATCATATTTGGGATTATACATTTCCTTCAATGCCAAAATTAATACATAAACTAATGTGAAATAAAGAGTTATCTCACACTAAAAACAAGACAACCCTGGACTCGGTGAGAATATGTTCTGGACAATAAACCTAAATTATCCCCACAGGGAAACTGAGTAATCTTTTTCCATAATTGCCATTCTGCACTTTATGGTTCTACCCATCTTGTGCTCCTTTGTGACAATGATGTTTTATCACCCACTCATTGTTATTCTGTTTCTCAAGTGGCTTTGATCAGACAGGGAGAGGAAGTGTAATGCAGATTGCGTGGGGGGGTCAGGTAAACATTTTAATAACATTCTGTCTTGAGAGTTGAACAAATGATCTAATCTGATGAATAGTAAATCAGCATGCATGTGCGATTGCGTGTGCGTGTGCGTGTGTCCTTACGTTGTGGCAGGGTTGATATATTTCCCCACACCGGCCTTGAAGGTCTTGGGTGCCTCGTCCTCTTTCTTCACAGCGACATTGGTCAGCTGCTTCTCCTCCTCTTGCTTCTGCAGCTCCTTCTCTCTCTCTGCTGCGATCTGAGAAAACAAAACAAAACAAAAAAAAGAGTAGATCATGTAACTCCACAGACATGGATACCAGATCAGAGGACACAGAGACACCAGACACCACAAAGACTTCATGCTCAGTGACTGTTACTCCCATGTTGACACTCCCTGCACACTCTGTATCTTAATTGCAGATGGGCCAACAGCTTCAGGTGTAAAAGAAAGCCTTAAATACTTACAGTCAGTTGACATGTTGTTCCAAGAGTTTGATGTGAAACAGTTCTGCAATATTCACATGAAGGCGATTCTTTTCTTGTGGTGTTTGCTCTGAACTCTACTTGATTATTTTGGATCTAAACTCAAACCCAGCCTTTAAAACTTTAATTACAGGCTAAACAGAGCAGTAAAAGAATCCTAATAAAGCTCAGCCAAGAGTTTAAGGGATGCTGGAGACATCTTGTGTCCAGCTGTTACTTTTATAGGTCTAAGTACTTACATATTAATTGATTCTAAAGATACATAAAATAGAGGAGTAGCTTTTTGTGTGTGAAACTTAGAAAGAAAATCAAACAGTTTGTGAAAAAGCACATCAGACAATAATTGATAATCAAATCAGAATACTTCTTAAAACATGTCTGTAGGTCTTGAGTAAATGATATCAAATCAGGCATGATAATACATAATTTTATCTGGAACTGTGTCCTCTGTCTCTTCATCTATTGCATACAGCTACAGCAATCTTAAAGGAGCATGACACTACAGACGTTTTTCCCTACTTCTTTTAGTCACATCAAAAAGACTTTGAAAAACTAAAAGGTTTTTGGTTTTTATTTGTCAGCTTCTGTAACTGTGTCAATTTTATCAAATTAATTTCACATGTTGTATCCTGAACCAGAAATGTTCAGTGAAAACAGACAGAGAAATACAAACCTGAGCGTCCGCCTCTTCATACGGGTCCACAAACACATCCGTACTTATGATCTTGATCTCCGACTGTAATTCAGAAGAAAAAAAATGGAATGCAAAAAAAAAAAAATCACTTCTTTTATTTTCCTTTTTCAAATAAAAGTTTCTCCCTGCAGCTTGAAAAAAACAAAAACAAAGAACAGAAATTTTATCAACAAACATGAGACGAAAATGAAGTCATGCTTTTTTTTTTTTTTTTTTTTTTTTTAACCTTTAAATACCAACGCTACATCTGCTAAGATTCAGGATCAATCGACAGAGACAACACTTCTAGCTTTTCGAAGACCAAAACGAGCGAGTCGATGGCATTTCTAAGTCATTTCTCACCGGTCCCCTTCTTCATTTCTCGTCTCAGCGGCTGACCTTTAGATGATCCATGTAAGGGTCAAAATAGCACTACGCCTGAGTCCTGCCCTCTTCAGCTCATATTCATGTTAGTCATCAAGGAACTTGAAATGATTTGGCACTTGAACTCTAATTTGCTCGGCGAGGGTGTCGGACAAATGTCAAGATAAGAAAAAACAAAAAAACCTATGGAGAGGTATTTGATAGATATTTTTTGATGTGAGGACAATAAATATTCCAGACATTCTAGATTCATGAGCCAGTCTTCATTCATTCATTCATTCATTCATTGTCTTATAAACATGATAGAAAATAATTTCTCTTAGAAAGCTTCATTCAGCATAAAAACAAGATCTAATCGATCTCAATCAATGATTCTTTTTTGTAAAGCGCTAAATCAATCACTTGACACCTTATCCTAAAGAACTGCATCCCTGATTCATAACAACTGTTATCTAAGAACACTTTATAAAAGCAGGCTAGTCATTGATTGCTAGACTTTTCACTTTTTTTAAATGATTATTAACAGTGTAATAATCGCACATTAAATACATGAATGAAACCATCAACAACTTACCTTCGGCTTGTCTGATTTGGGATCACTCTCCACATTCTCCATGGCTGTGAGTGTCTCAAATCCACCCACAATCCTACAAAAGAGAAAAAACACAAAACGTCTTTTATCTGCAAGACATGCAGGAGCCACGAGACCTGGCCTTCCTACACTACTCCCAGATCACTTTCATCTTGGTCACAGCAAAAATATATAATGTGTGTTTGATAAATGTTCAATAAAGTCACTGCAAATGAAGCCATTTTTACCACTCAAAATGACAAAGAGAAGGTAGACTCATTCATGACAAGAAGAGGCGCTCCGAAGTTAGATCCAATCAAGTTTATATCCTGCGAAAACCGTCTTGCAATAGAGGAAGTTGTGCAGTCCTCACTACTTCTCTCAGACAACAGTGAACATGATTTGCTGCTAAAAGTCAAGCTTTATAGCCTTTTTATGAGCACAAAAACTCAACACAAAAAGAATCAAATCACACAACATGTAGAGTCTGTCAAACACTGAGGGCCAAAAGGCCACATTTGTTATTGGCTCTCCTGCTGAGGGGCGCCGTTAAAAAGTGTGGCTCACACTTTGCTCTTTAAACTGAAAAGTCTTCATCAAGCTGCTCCTGTGGGGGGGACCTCCTGGTTTCAGGTGTAGAGTGAAAAAACAAATAGGAACTCGTATATCCAATGGTTCCTCTCAGGCCACACGTGCTCTACGGTCATGTGTTCAGCCTGACAGAGGAGATCCCACACTGTGTGACAAATGCACTTTACTTTATCAGACAGAACCATTAATTATATGTTAAAGCCAAAGAAATTCACATTTCACACGATAAATAAGAGTTTGACAGATTCTTATTTCAAGCCTCGGTTTCATATTCAATATTGTAGAGATAGGACAGTGAAAAACGCATCAGTTCACATTTGAACATAGGCTGTCCGCTTGGAGGAGCCTCCTTATGTAACTAACCACTAGGCTATTGGCTCCTGAACATTTTTTCCTGTTAAATAAAATACATTTAAATCAATATAGGTGGATTAGAACATGGGAGTTACTTTAAATCCTAAAGTAATATCACAGAAGATTCTCCTCAAGCCTATTCTTGGAATAGAATTCAACGTGATGAAGCCACAGTTAAAAGGACCTCACTGAGGCCACACCTGAGCATGCAGACTTCACATTATGTATAGATCTGGTAAAGTGGTCGTACATGGTCAGCCCCATTAAATGTGAAAAGACTGCAGTCTGAGAAGGATTAAAAAAAAAAAGAGAAAAAAAAAAGGTAGACATGAGGTGAAAGCAGAAGCTTTTAAAGTGTTGACCATGTGAAGAATCAGTCAGGTGAAAGCAGTCTGAATAATTTTAGACAACAGCCAGGACTTTCTAGAAAAACCGTCTTAGATCATACTCAGCTCAGCTCAGGGGAGAGAGACAAAAAGAGAGAGAGGGATTCAGCAGCTCCTGAATTCTTCACTGCTGTCAGCCAGGAGTCAGACTGGAAGTCACAACACTGTTTGTACTGTCTGGACCTCCAAACAAAGAAATATAAACTTGAAGAATAAAACCAGAGGGTGAGAGAGAGAGAGACAGAGAGAGAGAGAGAGAAGGAGACTATGAGGAAGAGGAAGAAGAGACAAAAAGGAGAAGAAGAGAAAAAAGAAAGATTGGACACAACTGTTTGTGTAAATGACACTGATTGAGCAAGTCTCTGTCATGACTGTCAGCTTTGGTAGCCTTCTGTCTCGGCAGCTACAGTACACAAAACAAGCTAACCCAACCACAGTGGAGTCAATTTTAATATATATAGAGAAGAATTACCTTCCAAACACTGAGTGCTTCCTGTCGAGGTAGGTGCACGATCTGAATGTGATGAAGCTGAGAGGAAGCAGAACACACAGAGCAACAAGAAATATGTGAGTAATGAAAACATTAGAATACACAACAATATCATGTGAAGAATATAGAGAAAGTACAGTATTTTAAATAAGTATTACAACTGTGTTATTATATTATGATCTGAATTTAAAAGCATAATAACCAATATACTCCTATCTGAAAACATGTTCGTCGTGTGCGGTAAGAGTTTTTTTTTATTACATGGTTTGGAAGGACTAGAAACAAGTCTGTACTAAACTTCTGAGAATACAGTCCTTGAGGCCGGGAAGATGCTAAAGGTAAGGTAGCACAATGACTCTTATGGCGCTTACAGATTGCCACTCTGAGGTGGGATACTGACGGCACTGTTATGCCTGGCCTGTAATGTGTAACACACGGCTGTATAATGATGGAACAGTTGTTACGCCACTGAGCCGCCATTGGAGGTAGAAGCAATGGGAGGAAGACTTTGACGATGTGTAACGTTTGAGCCGGCTGTGTGTGTGTGTGTGTGTGTGTGTGTGTGTGTGTGTGTGTGTGTGTGTGTGTGTGTGTGTGTGTGAAGCTTCCACTGTGTGCTCACAGGCCTAGCGTCTCTTGCTTCTGCAACGGCATAATGCAAAGTGAATTAACACACTGGGACACCAATATCACACCCTTATGTGATCAATGTGTATGTACAAGCGCAGTATGACAGCAAATCAAATCTGTAAAGGGCTTTAGACAGCTGACTCTGGCTTTAGGCAAACAGGGGTGGTATTACTAGACAGCATGCAAGTGACAGAGGTTGGGCCTTTCACTTTACTTAAAAACAACATAAAAATCTTTGACCATAGTTTCAGTTTTAAACAAATAAAGTCAAACGTACAACTTTTTCTTTGAGAAAAAATTAACAAATTAACTTGTTTATCAAATTCACTCCTGTGGGGCCTCAGCAAAGAATTCAAAGGTAAGTCAAAAACAAAAAGATCATTCCCTGCAGACTGACTTTCTAGCACAGAGCGATAGTTGAAAATGTAAGGCTGTTAAAATAATTTCTTACAACTGGGATTTGTTTGTGTTTGGACCAGAGTTTGCCATGCTGAGAACCCCGCGGCCTGTGTGGGACAGGTTGGGCTGAAACTCGTCCTTGAAAGGCTTTCCCCAGAAGGATTCCCCTCCTGGGATCAGAGAGAGAGAGAGAGAGAGAAGAGGGAAAAAAATGGGGAGAACATGTATCTTATAATTACTACAGGAAATCCATTTCAACATCTTCAAAACCATGGGAACTGTTGAATCAAGTTTTATGAACTAGTGAGAAATGTTTGTCCAGTGATGTCGACACCGATTCTAAGAAAGCAGCTTATTTTTTGCCAGCTGGTGTATCTGCATTACACAGCTACAGTACGTGGTGTGTCACATTATGTGTGTGTATCTGCTGGAGTTTAAATGTATAATGCAAAGCAAAGAACTACTCAGAGGCTTTTGTGCGGCAGTCAGCTTTGTGACATTTCTGCAAAATTGATCTCCTCCCAGACATTCTACCTAAGTACGACTTTGATCATACGTTAAAGGAGAGCGATAGAGGGGGATAAAAAGATAAATGAACCGTCTCCAAAGGGTTAACCAATTCATCAAACTGCATTTCCTCTGCTTTAAGTTGAAAACACAGTAAAGCCTTGAACTTCTACCGATTGAAAAGGTTAAACATGAAAAGAGAGAAAGAGACATGAAAACATCTTTCATTGACTCTCAGCGGTGAAGCATCTCCACTAATGAACACGTTACTTGGAAATTTTTTAAAATATGGGTTTAAGTGCTTCTGGTTTCTTATTTTTCTTTATAAACCTGGGCCACCCACTTGGAAGACTATAGCCTCCATAATGGGGCGTGCACACTAACCGCTGCGCCACCAGCGCCCCGGGTTTCTTATTTTTTTTAATACATGTCTAGGCTTTCTAATAGAAGAAAAATGTAAAAACATGTCTTTCACTAAAGCCTGGTTATGAAGGGTGTGGATCAACGAGGCTTAACTCAAGTTGGGGAAAGAATGAGCGCTACACTGAGCAGACTGCAGGATGTGACACTCTTTTCAATATATGTATGTGTGCAGGCAATGAACAACTAAATCAAAATTTTATTTTTTTTTTGTTTTTTAACTCTTGATTAATAAACTCCAAAAAAGTATCAAATCATTGTTCCACATCTTATTTTATCATCTCTACACACAACAATAGATATGAGCATATATTCTGCATAAAATCAGATTTATTGTGGTGAGGAGAGAGAGAGAGAGAGCGAGAGAGCATACGAGAGCCAGTTTGTTTAGAGTCCCTGTGATTGGCTAGTTACATGCTAGCTAACCCTGAGTGGTTGTTTGATTCAGGCTGGACGTGTTGTTACCTATTGTTCCTATAAGTATCAGAAAAAAACAATCACACTCATTTTTCTTATGTTGTGACCCAAAATAACCTCTGCAAGTTCATTACTTCATTACTCTATGCAAAGTGGTCAACATTCTAAATATAAAGTAAACAACAACATGAATGGCAATAGTCCTTTACTGCTGCTGTCTGTGGAGAGTCATTGTTCTTATTGATCATAGTAAATAACCAGACAATCACGGCACGATTGAAACGACAGCAGAAATCAATCGTACAAAGCCAGTCAAAGATCTGCTCACGTCATCTGTTGACACGTTTTTCAGTCCAGGTGATGAGGAGAAGGTAAGGAATTCTGCACCTTCATAAATCTGTCACGTTGGACGCAGTTTTGCGTAGGGCTCAGAGACGCCCGCAGACATAGAGCGCTCTTTGTGCTGCAGACACTGCGAGCAGCACAGGCGACATTAAGGCAGGAAATTAACTGTGTGAGGCAGAGTAGTCAATTTCACTGAGCTGCCTCTTAAACTGGCTTTTGAAAAGAGGGGAATTACTCCAAATGCTGGTTGATTGGTTGTTCAGCACACCCCCATTCTATACCCTACACTCAGCCCTCTACCATTAGATCATCTCCCCATCTTTTCTGTTTGTGTGTGTGTGTGTGTTTAAGGGTCTGCTGTGCTCCCATGAGCCTTTAAGGGGTATATTTAGAAACACTCTTGACTTGCATCTCGAGTTGCAAGAGGTATTTACTCAAAGCAACAAAAAGGAATTATAAATCATTAAACACAGATGGTATTATGTCATACTAAATGTGGTTTGAGTGCTGTCGTCATCTTACCTGTACCGGTGCCAGTGGGGTCCCCTCCTTGAATCTTGAAACAAAAAACACTCTGTTAGGTTTGGTTGACGTCAGCTGCTGCACATGAAAGCCAAAACCGGGTTTGTCCAGCGATTTGTCAAGAGCTGCTTCTTCTACTTACATTCAAATCGGAAAATGTCTGATTGCTCTTAAACAGTCAAGCTGTGACCTTACAGTATTTACTTTAGTGTTTTATTTTCAACCCGGTGGGCATGTTCCTGTTAAGCACTAGCAGCCAGTGAATACGTTTAAAGGATAAAGGCCTCTATTGTTCCTTGTAAAGGCTCAACTTTCCTATTAATGTTTATATAGCTAAGGACTGCTCTGTGCATTTCTTTGGACGTCTTGTTTTAGCACACACTGGGGGATTCTGACTGCTGGTCCTGCTGTGGAGCAAAGTTGAGATGAATGGGTCTCTGTAATGTTTTTCTGTTAAGAGGCAGTGAAGAGAAGCGTTTAACATGCATGCGAGACCAGAAGGTCATAAAAACAAACCCAATATTCTTATAGATGTGTGTTTAGAATTCTGTATGAAATCTTAACTGTTTAAACAAAACTCTAGACTCTAATTCTAATGGGCTCCAATAGAGCCAAACATATCTCTGTCTCTCCTGATTAGGTATGCAGTTTTAAAAACAGCTTAAGTTGTGATCAGGACTCTGCGTCTCGGGGACTCGGCTGTATTATCTGTGTTTGTGCTGGACGCCGTCTTTGACAAACTTGTTGACCAGAAAGAATCCTGAGAATGCATTAATGCTCCCTGGTGAATAGAGATAGCAGAGTCGTAAAAACAACAATGCTGCAAACTAATGTTAAAATGGTCCAGGTAGACTTGGCAGACGCAAACACCGGCATCACAATTGTCTGAAACCGTTCTTCACTGTTTGAGCAGCTCGTTGGTGTTCTGAAAATTCTTTTGAGTATCATTCCAGGATGTTCCCTTTAAGACCTGACAAACTCCTTTAAGTGAAGCAAGGGCCACAGCTGTGATCCCATTAACACACGGTTTCAGAAGTGTTTGTTGCTATGAAATTATTCTCTCCAAGGCCACTATCCTCTCCTTTTTCAGCTGTGATAAGTCGAAGAAGGTGTAAGAGGCTCAGTAATTATTTATAAACAATTCAGTGGCCTCTCTCTGTATGAAAACCACAGGATAGAATGAAAAAAGGTAAGGGTCCTCTTGAGACCAGATGACCACTAAGAGCCACTTTAATTACGGGAGCGGTAGCTTTGAAAACACCTGGAGCAGCGGCTGATCAAAGACCTGTCTTTTGAAATTCTCAGTCTGAACCAAGAGGCTGCAGTTTGGGGAGGGAGTAGGAAACCAAAGCAGTGTTTGTTCATTCTGCATGAAAAGAAAATACATTATTTTTAAAAGAGAGGTAACTGATAAGTAGATAAAGTTGTTATTAATCCATTGTTTTGCCAAAAAAGATAAATACATACATAAAGAATTCATAACAAAGGTAGCCGATTTTTTTTGTTGTTGCGATGGTGACTATTATACCTTAAGGAGTATAACTGACTGGTTTTTGCAATTTATACACTTTTAATTAACATCATTAGTTAGTTTTCAGCAGAGAGGCAAAGTTAAGTTGGCTTATACCAGTGCTTCTCAAACTATGGGGCACACCCCCCAGCACAAGAGCACCATTTAAATGGACAAACGTACCGTAAAAATCTGGAATATAAGGCCCATTGGTATTTGTGTGTTGAGGGGTCTCCCAGAAGGAAAAAGGATTATAGTGTCTTCCTGCGTGACTTCCAGCCAAGTCCAAAACATGCTGTTTCTGTGCAGCTCTTTCAGGTGCAGTTTTAGTTCTGTTTTTCACCATGTGGAGTTTGCACTCCTGCTAGCTAACAGTACTCAAGTTGAGCTCTGAGCCTACGGTGATAGTTGTGAAGTACAGACCCACAGCCTGCGAGCAGCGCTGCCCACCTCCCCATGTCACTGTTTGTCTTTAGCTGGGAGACTTTTCAATCAAACCAACACATCACCAGTTTGTTTCCTTAAGAGTTTACCACTGTCTTCTTCATATGAATGAATATGGCCATATGAGGGAGAACAGCTGTTAGAAAACTGGCATCGCCAGCCTGGCCCTGCATCACTGATTATCTCAGTAAGTTTGGAGCAGGGATGGGCCACTTGCAATACACAAACACGTCATTGGTCTGCACTTGAGCACATGACGCTGCATGTCTCATCATTTTAGAACTGGCATATTGGTTGTATATAGGACGCAGCACACTTTTTAGTAAAGAAAGGTAATAGAAGTGCGTCTTATTTAGCAGATATTTGCAGTAACAGACCTGAGATTGACCCTTGGTGAACCCATGAGTGAAACAGGATAGAATAGAAGATTAAGAATTTATTATAACAGAAAAGGTTATTTAAAAAAATAGGAGCTTAATAAGTTGTGGTTATGAAGCCTGCTGTTGTGCATATGAGAAGATGCTAAAGTCATTTAAGTTTGAAGGGTTTGTAATCACAGAAGAGCATGTCTGTTTGGTTGAAGTCCTTACCATGAAGTTTCGGATGGATCTGTGAAACACCGTCCCGTCATAGTAGCCTTTTTTGCACAGACGGATGAAATTCTCTCCAGCTTTGGGAACCTGAAGGACAGTGCACGCTGACATTATTAAAAAAAAAAAGACATTCATATTTATTCATCACCTCAAATGTGTTATCAAAATACTTAAAATTCCCTGCCACTCTTCAGCTGCGCTGTCCAATAAAACGCAAAGCAGCCCAAAATATAACTACAAGAAGAGGAACTACAGAGCTGCCTTTAGGATGTTGGAAAGATGTTGAGCTACAGATGGAGGCTATATTTCAACTTCCAGGTAGAGCTGACACGACTGCAGGTAGCTTTGCATTCACAAAACCACACTGAGTCACAAACTCTGTCTGACCTGCTTCAAAGTGTTTTTTCTATACACATTGCTGTGTGATGAAGAAGGGTTCATCTGTTGCCTCAGGCAGCCCATGTGCCCATACAGTAAGGAGCCAAGTTTGGTACTACAAAGCAGTTTGTTGATGTAAAAAAAAAGAAAAAGGAAGCATCTGGATTTCTCATCTCGCTGAAGGTAAATCCTGGGTCATGAAAACAACTTTGAGGCATCTTGTAAATAATTAGAACAAACACTCACTGACAGTAACTCATTTTGACTGTCTGGCACTCTTTAAAATGAGCCAGTATGTGTCACCAATGAGGGAGGCGGGGCTTAAGACGGTGCCGCTGGTAAGGTCTACCAGTGTCTGGAGGGACACTGTGTTGTGTGTTCGAGAAAGTGTGCGTGTGTGTGTGTTTGCGTGAGAAACTAACTTTTTCCCCTTGGCAACAATGATTGGTTGTTTCCAAGAATCACCAGATGCCTTTGAATGAACCTATTTTTATTCATAGGCCTTTTCCTGCGTGACAGGTCTCTTCCAAGCTCGGCTGGTCTTATTTCCACATATGTCTCCATTTTGCTGTTGGGGTTCACTGCTCTGCCAGCTTTTTGCTTCTCTTATAATCCCAGATTTTCAAAGCACTCTGGTTCATATTGGCTTATTGTTTCTAACCACTAGACAAAAAAAATGGATTGACCTTTGGCAGTAAAATGGATTTTTCAATGGCAAAAAACACCAGAAAAATAATGTAATATTAAATTGTGTGTATCAACAGAAAATAGAACATTCATTCATATGAAACATTAAGCTTTCTTCTTGAGTTTTTAAACCAGACGCTCTCACGTCAGAGATCTCTATCTGTAACTTGAAGGCTTTTTCCACATCTTGACTCTGCTGCTGCCCTGTAATTGAGGTTAATTATGCTCGTCTGCATGCTTGCTGCTGTGTTGGTGTGTGTGAGTTAAGCCTACTGGGGAAAGTTTAAAATGCAATCAAATTCAGAAACATGCTCTGCTGCCTAAAATGGTCTGTTATCAGTGATGTCAGCATGGAAACAATGTTTGCTGACGCAGACAGAAAAAAAACTTTGAATATATGCATGCTTACAAGCCCCCTCCCTTTTAAAAGTTATTCTCAGGCAACCAGACTTTAAAGTGAGACACAAAAAATAAGTGGAGTTATTTGATTGACGTTTTACTCTTGAGGAATGTTGGTGAAATAAATGTCTGGTAAGTCACTTTAACTTCACAAGGAAACCTAATGGAGATTGAACCTAGAGTGATGACAGTCCTCGTCCCATTAGTGTTATTATTAACCAGATAAACAGTCTATATTCCTTGGAAAAATCCAATACAGCATCCATCAAAAAGCAGTGGTTGATTCATTGAAACAGGTTAAGCTCCAAAAATGGAGAGTAAATCCAAAGAAAAGGAAACAGATTTGACTTTTGGAGGAGGACAATCAATACTAGAGAAAGAGTTATTTTGATCCCTGTCAGAGTGTCGTCCGAAACCAGATTAGTTATTACATCTTATTGCCAATTATATAATCATGGACAACTAAACCAGGATTGTCAAGACTGCTACTTGAGTCTTGATGTACATGAATATTCTTTTTAAACCTGTCAGGGTCAACTGATTTCATCCCAGTGAAGTCATCTACCAGATCCATCGTTCTTTTAAATATACCAAAGTTGTACGCTCCTCAATATCCTGTCATTTCATCTCAGTCATCTCTGTCCTCACACTGACAATTGAAATATCTCTAGCTGGGTCAGCAATGGGCATTTAACGGGGAGGTGGACTCTGGGTGTGTTTGACCCAAAGTGTATGTGACAGTGAAACAGCACTCATTAATTCATAAACAGCAGGCCACAAATAGAGCTGAAATCTTGTGTGAAATCCACTGGGGAGTAAGACTGGGAGGGGGGGATGTGGGGGGGTGCACAGAGCAGGTTGTCTAACCGCTGCAACTTTCCCCTCATTATTCTGATTCGACAGTTCAGAAGCCAATAAAAACATAGCACATGAAGCGCCTGGTTACCGGGGCAGAAATACATTCCTGGAACTCCTGCTGTCTCTCTGGAGCCCAACACCTAACCTTTAAAAAAACAAGGCACACAAAGACATTTCTGCTAAGATGTAAACCTGGCAACCTGCGGGACACACTCTGCAAGAGGCTGATTTCTGTGTTTTGAATGATTCACCTTGAATAGCATTTAACCAGCGGCTCAGGCCAAACCCACGTCACAACATAATTACTGCAGAACCCTGTGCCAGCAAATTAAATCAGCTAAGTCTGAGGTCAAAACACCAGGCCTCATTTAAAAAAAATTGCTGTTGCTGATTTTAAGCATTGATCCGCAAATCCACTTTAAGTCTCCAGAGCATGACCATAACTTTTCATTTGAAAACCTTTATCTCCTCTGACTTCTTTTAACACTTCCTGTCATGAAAATACAGATTTAATCTATGAATTCAAAGGAAATTTAAGGATCATTTCCCCTACATTATTTATGTGGAAAATCTTTTTTTTTTTTTTTTTTTTAAACACAAAATGCTCAGTCAGTCACAAAAGAAAAAACTGTGATTCTCTTACATGAATTCTCTCTCCTGTTATCTTTTGTCTTAAGTTAAAAGGAAACAGAATTTAGGGTAACTAAAGCAATCTTTTCCAAAATACAGCAAGTGTTGAGTGTTATTTCTTCCAGCTGTTTGTGTGTAAATATGTGTCTTGTTACCTTATCACAGTGCAGTTCCACATTCAGGACTCCCTTATTCGTGGTAAGACGGACGTAGCCTTTTTTCTTCACATACTGGTAACGCACAGTGTCATCCGCAATGGCATCTAGAACAGAAAAAAATGTAATTGTTTGATAACTTTTTTTTGATTTAGTCTGGTAAGTTAGTTGCTAACCATTTAGAAAAATTATCGTAAGATTTAATTGATAGTTTTTTTACATGATGTTGCTGCAGATAGGATTTCTGACAATCCTAAGAGTCTCTGCAGTGAGCTTTATTGATTTATATACCGGTAAGTATTACTCTCATATAAACAATCTTTAATCAGCTAATTCTCATTCCACACACATGGGCTAAAGAGTTATAACTATTCAGACTTAACACTTTACAGGAAAGTGGTTTGGTTGAAAAAAAAAAAAAAAAAATGACAAATGACCATCGGTAATTCCCAGCCCAACTTTACACCCAATAATGACAACCCAAATATATATTTAATTCAATGTCATAGAGGAGATAGTTTAGCAGATCATTTTCACATTAAGGAAGCTGTAATTTAAGAATATTTATGTTCTTCTACAGTTTAAACCGTTTAATCATAGTCAAAGTATTCAGGGTGTTGTGTCAGTGAAAAAAGAGTTGATACAAACATCATTTATCCTTGCAGCTGTAGTACCAATCCTTACACAGTTCAATATTATAACCTAACACTTTCTATTTAGGATTAAACATTGGGTCTACAACATGTCTCAGTATTCAGTGATTTAAACTAAAGACACAGATCCATAAAAGTAAACAGCCTAAGACTCTTCTTCAGAAACCTGAACTGGGTCACTAAATCCAAACATGGTCCTCCTCTTCTGAAGTATACTGAACCTACTATGCAGTTGCATAACAGAAAATCTCTCTCATGATGCAGCTCAGAGACTGACAGGAGACGAACACACAGTCAAACAGAGCAGCTCCCAATTGCAGCAACGTTCGACTGTGTGTGTGTGCGTGAGATCGCAAAGCTGCAAAAAAGAGCAGGCATGACTACTAGCCTAGTCTTCAGTGGATAAAATCAAGATTAAAGCTACACGAGAAAGATGCGCTGAAGGTTTCTGTCTGCTGGGACTTAAAAAGAGGGCTTTATTTGTGTGAGGTGTTCACTTGCCTGCTTCTTGTGTTGTGGCAGGAGTCATCGCTGTGGATGTGAAGGAGGCAGATACTCTGCCTGTCGAGTAGTGGGCCTAGGGGAAGAAAAAAAAGAAAGAAAAAAAAAATGCTTTTAAGATATGTTGTTTTAAGCATATATTCTCTTCTACGACTACAGCACCTTGAAGTTAGAAGTTTAATGATCTACTCAAGGCACCTCTCTCACACCAGCTGCCACATACCATTTGTCTA